ACCAGTGGACTCTCAGTCCTTGATCAGTGATCCACTCTTGGCAAATAATGACCTCTCAGCCCTCCCACCAGTGGCCAATGACCTCTCAGGCCCCTCCCACCAGTGACCAATGACCTCTCAGGCCCTCCCACCAGTGACCAATGACCTCTCAGGCCCCTCCCACCAGTGGCCAATGACTTCTCAGGGCTCCTTCCTCCAGTTTTCTTTCAGGGTCTCCCTTGACCACTGATTGCAACAACTCATTAGGCCCTTGCCTCCAGTTACCACTAAGGACCCTTTTCCTGGTCATCTGGTCATCTCAGGCTGCTCCCCCAGGGACCAGGAAGCTCTCAGGTCTCTCTCCTCATTTACCTGTCCTGTGCTCTTCTGTCCCCATTGACCAGTTATGTGTCAGGAGCTTCCCAAGGTCATTCCAAGGATTAATTCTCCTATCCCTTTTTCCAGGGAGTGACTGGAAGAATATGAGGAACTTCTACCCTAGAGTGGAGAGGGTCTGGGGACCTCTGCTCCTCACAAATTACTCCATTTGCTTGTTAGCCAAAAGGAAATCAACTGGTCCTGTTTTGCTTGCCTTGGAATTTGTTTGGGCATCACTGGGCTGGTAAATTTCCTGACTTCTTTTCTAGCCTCAGTTACCTCTCCTGTGAAATGGGCCAATGCTGCCAGTCTACAGTTAGGTTGGCCAGCTTTAGGGAGTCAGGGAGTGGATAGATGAGGGTGAAGATGGTTGGTGTTGCTTATTAAGGGAAAGCAGATTCTGGAAGACAGCAGGAGGTACAGTCCGAGAGCCTTGGATTTGGAAGCTAGATGACCTGGGTTCATAGCCTAGTGGGGCTACTCACTACCTGTGACACTGAATAAGCCACTCAACCTTTCTTTGCCTCAATTTCCTCATCTATTAAAAAAAAACGTCAATTGTAATAGACGATGACCCATAAGGTTCCTTGTAGCCCTCATTCTGGATTTCTTTCCATCAGAAAGCCTTTACTAAATGCCTCCTGTCAAAAAAAAATGTGAGATGCACAAATTAAGAGACTCCACCCCAAATGTTCACATGAACTATTTGTACCCAGCCTGGGGTAGAGCATTCCGAGCTTGTATTGGTCTGAGCAGCCACACTCTGACACATGGTAACTCAACTCTAGCATATTGTTATCATTTTGGTTCTGTTCGAAAACAAAGGAAAATAACTAACCAACTGTATGCTATCCTACTATACTATAGTCTACAGTCTATTAGTATGTCATCTATATATGTATATATGTATCATATACACATATATATATGGTATAGTATAGGATAGTAGCATATGCTGTACTTATAGGCACTGTGCTGAGTGCTAGGAATGCAGATACAAAAAGAACTTCCTTTCATTCTGATAGGGACAGTCCTAGGCCTTCCTGCCTTATTGGCTCTGGAGAGAACCTTGGCTGGGTGGTTCCCCCCTGCTCTTCACCCTTAACAAAATTTGTATCTGAAGTGTAGGCAGAGACAGCAGCATCTCTAGCCAGAAGTCCGGTCCAGCATAGCCCATGGGCCAAGAGAAATGGAGCCGGACGCTACTCTCCTGAGGTGGGGACCTTGTGGGATCCTGGAGTGAGGTGAAAGAGGATGGGGCAGGGCTTTCAGATGTTGCCAATGTGTGGTGTCCAAGGGCATAAGGGTCTTTCTCCCAGAAGTGAGACTGGTTCTTGTAACTTCTTTTTTGGGGGGGGGAGTCGGGTTGGGGGAGTGGTTACCTCCTTTCACCACACCAGTGAGGATCTCAGGGGCCTGTCCCCCTGTACTTTGGAGTTTCACTCCCTCACCCTCAATGACCTCAGTTTCCCCTCAACTCCCCAGTTTGGATTTTTTTTTTATCTTTGTGTCTAGACCAGGAGACAGGGAAACAGCTTTCCCAGTGAAACTGGAAACCAGTCCCCTAGACACAGAGTTAAATATAGGCGGGTGAGGATTGAGTCTCACCGCGAGGGGAGGGGGAAATCTTTGTACACTAAAGCAGATTTCTCACCTGTCCTCCTCACTCAGCACCACCCTTCTCCCCCCCAACCTTTATCCCTGGGGGCGTCAGCTGCCCCTGAGAAATACCTACCCCACACCCAGCCTGGAGCAGCTGTTTCTTACTGTTGAATTATTTCCTCAGAAATACCACCCTTCTTTATGTCATAGCAGGGTGACTCCTAGCTCTGACTATTGGCAAGGGAGCAAAGCACCCCCCTTCCCATTCTCAAGGTATGATAGCTAATGTTTAGGTTATCCATGGGGCTGGGTGAGTTATCTCACCACCCAGGCTGGGCCACGACTCCCTAATTCTGCCCCTTCAGGAGAACCCAGAATACCCTCGTCTCAGAATGTTCTTCTCCCAGAGGACCCTGGGGCTGGAGTGGCTTTAGTCCCCATAGAGAGCTTCCAGGAATAGAACCTTGCAAATAAGGATGGAAATTTACCAGCCTGACTCCAGGCTGGTGTTTCTGAGGTTACCTCTATCCCTTCCATCTTCCTTCTGCACTTCCTTGGAAAAGGAATAAGGGTTCTTAATTTTTTTTTTTTTTTGGTTGTCATAGACCCATAGGCAGTCTGGTGAAGCCTAGGGACATCAAGGAAGCCAATTATACCTAAAGACGTAATTCCCACCTCCACCTCTCCAATCAGGTTCTTGGATCCCCTCTGAAATCTAATCACAGGAATGGAGACCCCAAATTAAGAATCCCTGGATGAAGACAACTGACCCTTGGACCAGGGAAGAAAGGGATTACCTAGGGAAGCCCCTGAGAGGTTATGGGTCACAGGGAGGAGGGACCTGAAAGGTGACAGCAAGGCCAGCTTATGTAGAGGACAGTCTATTTCTCTTCTGATCTGCCTAGTAGCTATTGACCATGGAATAGATTCTTTCTTTTGTATTGTGTAGACCAGAAGGGTCATGCACACTTAGCTGCATTAATATATAACTGGGAAATGTTGAACAAAACAAATAGAAACACAATAGAATGTACATAATGTTAATATGCAGTTTTCTGAGTCAATATGTGACCCTCAGTGATCCTTTCATATGGCTTAGCAGTTCCTATTTCAATTTCAGGGCAGCTGGGTGGCTCAGTGGATAGAATGCTAGACCTGGAATCAGGAAGACCAGAGTTCAAATTTGATCTCAAATACTCACCAGCTGTGTGACCCTGGGCAAGTCATTTAACCAGTTTGCCTTAATCTGCTGGAGAAGGAAATAGCAAAACCCCATGGACAGTATTGGAGGGCTATGGTCCAGGGGGTCCTAAAGAGTCGGACAAGCCTGAATAACAACAACTTTTATTTGAGTTGGACATCACTGGTGTAGACTTTACTTGATTCTCAGCCTAAGAACAGTGAAGATCACAGAGTCCTGGTGATAGGATTGCCTAGGGCAATGACACTAAAGAATCCTAGTAGGAGGAGAGGGGAAAGGGAAAAGAATTACACCGCCTTCTCAACAGCAGTCTTAGTCATGTTCATCTCTCTCACCCAGTGGCAAAGTGGAGAGTGTCCTGGATTTAGAGAAATGAATCCCACCTGTGGCACTTTATTGTTGTGACCTAGAGGCGACTCACCTAGCCCCTCTGACTCAGTTTTCTCATCTGTAAAATGGGAAATAGCACCTACCTCACAGGGATCCTTAAATAAGATGACCTGTAAATCATTTCACAAACTCTACAAAGGGTATGGAGATGAGCCCTGAATTCAGAGGACCTGGATTCAAATCTCACTTCTGCTACTTATGGCACGACTCTGGGCCTCAGTTGCCTCACTTGTTCCACCTCCCAATTTATGGAATTATCAGTTATTATGAATGTACTCCTATAGACCAATGCTATCCAGAAGAACACCAGCCGGCATACATACAAAAAGCGCAGTTACGGCTCACCGGTATATGGAGGCACATCTGGGAAAGCGCAGGGTCCTAAGTCTGGTGTTATTTGCCTCAGCCTAAGTAAATTCTTCCTTAACAGAGCCAGAAAACAGGCTGGGAGCTAAGCTCCTGGGGGCAGGGAAATGGGATTAGGATTTTAGCGGGGGTGCGGTGGGGGGGGAGCGGCATTTCCCACCCGCAGAGAGAGCCTGGGCCAGTCTTCACCTCCACCTCTCTGTGTCTAACATTCCTTTTCCTCTTCAGGTGGGTAGGTCAGGTCAGGCTGGGGGGGATGGGGCGAACGGGGAGGCTCTGTGTGAGGCCAGGGTGAACCTGGAAACTCCTCCCCCCACTCCCACCCCCAGTACAGGGCAGCCCACAAGGGAGACGTGGAGTCAGGTGTTTGCATTCCGGGGCCTAAGAAACCCAGCCTACCCAGATCCTTTGATGGTAGGTTCCGCCCCTGCCCTACGGAGACAACTGACCTCATAGTCCCAGGGTCCCGAATTTCCTCCACTCCTAGTGTATGGTCTTAGTGATCTTGTCTACTGGAATCCCAGGATGCAAGGGATACACCTTGCCCTGCTCTGTCCCCTTTTCATTCGCTCTTAGGGGAGACTTTCTCTTATCTAGCCTTCCAACCAGTTCTTCATTGGTGGGCAAGTGAGGAAGGACCCCAGGAGGACATTATCTCTTAGGGTAGCCAAGGGGCTCTGGCTCTGGGAGCTCTTAAGGAGATGATATGAGCCTTCCCTGCTGCTTTTCAATCCTGGACTTTCCCAGGCAGGATTGGTCTGAGGTCATCGGAGATCGTAGGCGCTGTGTGTGCGTGGCTGGCGCTGGATCTGAAGATAGGAGTTCTGAGCCTGGTTTATTGACCTTGGGCAAATCACCGCATTATAGCCTACAACTTTTCCTTCCGCCCTGAGAAGGGTGATGAGGTGGAAGTCGAAGCCTAGGATGAGGCAAGCTAAGTGCCCCTCCCCCTCCAGCCCAGCGGACTTGGGACCATCCGGGCCAGCAATTAAGCTGTGGAAACGGATCAATGGTGCCGGGAGAGATCCCACCCCCCAGTTCGGATCATTAATTTGCTTTTGAAAGCAAGAAGCTACTTTAGGAATAAAGATAATACTCCCGTCTCTTTTATTTTTCAAAGGGATGCAAAACCGGGCTCTCTCATTTCCCACCCCTCACCCCTACACCATAGCTTACGTCGTTCTGTGGGCGCTTCTCGAGATCCCACTGGGAAGGGGGGGGTGAGGGAAGCAAGGGGCACGTCTCTACACCAATCCCACTCTTTCTAGAGGCGGGCAAGGGGCGGGGCAAGGAAAAGGTGGCGGGAAGAAGTTAAGCCGGGTGATCCCAGGAAGTTGCTTCCCCTCTCCTTTTGTCACCATCTCCCACCCACCCCCACCCCGGCCCCAATTAGGGGCTGTTTCACAGGAACACGGGCTGCGGCTGGAACCCCGAGGCAGACCTGACCAAATTAAGACCCAGCCCACCGAGCTACGTGTTGCTAGCTGGGGGTCTAAGGTCGGCGGCGGCAGCTACAAAAACGAGGGACCTTTTCAGTTTCCAAGAAGGCATTTATGTAAAAAACATTGATACTAAGAACAAGTCACGACTCGACGATGCGGTAACTCCAGCCTGTGGAAATAAATAAGTCTCGTCTGCCTGACACACTCGAGCGTCCCATAAAACGGAACTAACTGGACAAGAGAGGCTTCCCTCAGAGAAAGGGCGGGCCTGGGGGGTGGCAGCACCTCTTCATTCCCGGCAAAGTCTGAGCAAGAGAGGTTTGACAGCGGCTGCGACGGCTCACCACGGCCTCCAGACAGGTTCACATCTGTCCTCCGCGGGGCTGCCCGCTCGCGGCCCACTGCCTCCCAGGGAGGTGAGGCCGTGCACCGGCGAGCTGGTGGCGCCACCGGCTGCAGGGGGAGGAGGGGCGCCTGCCAGCGCTGCCCCGGTGGCTGGACCTCCCCCAGCCGCTGCAGCACTGGGGTAGGTCTGGAGCAGCGAGCCCGGGGCAGGCCCGAAGGCGGGGTTGGGGATGAGGAAAGCTACAGCCTGGCCGTCGTGGGCGGGCACCAGGTGGAAGCCGCCGTACACTTTGGGCGACAAGGCACCAGCCGGGCTCATTTTGCACTGGGCAGAAGCGGTAGCGGCGGTCCCGGGCAGCTGGACGTGCAGCGGTTGAGACAGATGCGAGGGCTGGCCAACTCCGGGAGGCGTGTATCGCACGGGTCCGAGCTGGTTGAGGCAGGCGGCAAGGTGGCTCAGGAGGCGAGAGCGCACGTCTGAAGTGACCCCGTCGCAGGAGGACAGGAAGCGGGTCACCTCGTTCATGCATTCATTGAAGCCGGCGCGGTATTTGCCTAGGACGCTCGGGTCACCGCTGAGGGCAGCTAGGAACACATAGTAGTCAAGATTAGGGGGGAGCTCGTGGCGGGCACTGGGGCTGAGTCACCCCGACTTCACACTCCCTGCTCCCACACATACACAAGGTGCAGGCTCACCTGTCACTTGGACCCTCTGCAGGCTCCGCAGATGCTTGACAGTCATTTCTAGGATGTCTGCCTTCTCCAGCTTCGAGTGGCGGGAGCTCTGGGGAACACAGGGTATGCAGATGAGACCGCGCTCCAACAGACATCCCAAGTCGTCTCCCTTTCCCCCTCCCCTTCTACCACCTCCCCCACTCCTGACTAGCGCCTTCACACTTACATCTTTCTTTAGTGCGTCCAGGATAAGGGTCTTGAGCTGGCCCAAACTCTCATTGATCCGAGCTCTTCGCCGCTTCTCCATTATGGGCTTGGACGACTGCAGAGCAAGAGAAAGGTGGGATCAGTCCACGGCCGGTTTCAGGGCTGGGCATCTCTTTGCACAACCCGCCCCGGACCCGCCCCGGGGGGGGAACAGTCCCAGATTCTGGCTCGCCCTCCGGTCTGCAACCACAGTCCTTACCTTGCGGTGCTCGCTCGCGCTCTTGGGTTTGTCTGGCGTCTGGCTGGCGCTGGCCGGCGCTCCCGCCAGAGGAGAGGCTCTCGGCTTCTCCAGGGTGTCCGCCGGCATCGTAAGCGAGAAAAATTTGTGGCTGGGTTCTGCCCGAGGTTTCCGAACACACCAAATGCCTAGTGGGTGGGGGGTGGTGATGAGAACGCCCCGGGTCCCGATTGCCAGCGAAGGCTGCTTGAAACTTGCAGCAATGGAAGAGAGGAAGGAGGGCAGACCCAGCGGGAGGGGAGTCTGTGGAGACTCGGGTGCCAGGTCTCTATCCTTGCCTCTGGACCGGCAGGACTACGTGCGTACCAATTTCTGCGCGCCCTCCCTGCCTGGCGTGTGTGTTCCCCGGTAGCCTCCCTCCCAGCCCTTTGGCCAGAGCAGTGAGCTAAGAAGCCGTCCGATCCGTGCCGCGCTCTGCCGCGCTGCGCCCGCTCCCGCCGCCGCCGCCTCTATTTATGCCCGCGCCGCCACCGCCGCCACCCATTCGTGTGAAACCCGCTCTGCATTCTTTCCCACACTCGCGCCAGCCAATGGGCAGCCCGCCTCGCCTCCCGGGAGCCCCAGGCCGGCCCGCGATTGGCCGCCGCCCCCGCGAGCTGTCAGTCACGCGCTGGCCTCCCCCTCCTCCCCCCGTGCAGCCGGAGGTCGGGGACAGCGGACAAAAGGAAGGGCCCGGGGCGCTGGAGGCAGGCGGCCGCCTCCCCGGGATGGTGCACGGGGGAGGGAGGAAGGGGGAGCGGTTCCCCGACGCGCCGCTCCCTCCCTCTCTCTCCTTCCCTTTCCCACCTACTACCCACCCACCCTGCCTGCCTGCCTGCCTGCCTGCGTGCGGCTCGCCTGGCGGGTGCGCCTGCTGGACCCACCGCCCGAGGGCTGGGCGCGGGGCCAGGGAGAGAGAGCTGCTTGGCTGATTCTGTTTTCTTGTCCCGAGATGCCTGGGCGGGGAAGGCTCCTAGATCTAGCCAGCCCAGCTCACCCTCGGCGCCTGGCACCACCAGAGGCCCTGGACAGGCTATGAAGGGCATGTTCTTGGTGGGCACGCCAAGGTTTCCCCAAAGGGGCCACTTTTAGTCCTCCCACCCTGTGCTAACCTCTTCCAGCAATAGCACTCATCCCAGCTTTGCTTTGGTATCTTTATCTCCTCACATAAATCGGGTAGGCACAAAGTAGGCACTGGATAAACGCTTACTGATTGGTTGACTGAGGGAGAGGGGAGGTAGAAATGCTTGTCTTTTAGGGAAACCGAGCTACCTCCTTTTCCCAGCTTCAGGCCTGTAACCTGGGAGCAATTTTTGACAATAACCCTCCCGCTCTGCTCTCCAACTTCTGAATCTGATCTCTCCCAGCAGGGACTCAGATCGACCTCTGGTTGTCTCGGTCTCCACCGCCCCCACCCTAATCCAGGCCTCATCACCTTCAGTCCCAGGACTATTGCAACAGGCCAGGTGCTCTTCACCACTTACTGTCCGTCCCCCTCCACCAACGCACAGGCTTCGGGGAGTCATGATCGGTAAACTGTGTAAGTCTCTCCTTGTTCAAGATTCTACCCGGCTCTCCTAGTCCATTAATTATCACTTAAATCCGAACTCCTCAACCTGCTTTTCAGCTCATTCATTTATTAAGCTGGGGCGGGGTGGTGTCAGGCCTTAGGCTGGGAGCAGCCGAGGCAAGACAGAAAAGTGACTGTCCCTGTTCTGGGAACCTTACAGTTTGCTTAGGGGAAGCATGATAAGGCTACAGGGGAGAGGCAGAAAGCATCCACATGTTTTAGGAAGGGGAGAAGAGGAAGAGATTACCACAGCCTGGAGAATCATTCATTCATTCGTTCAGCAAATGTTTAAACTTTATGCTAAGCGCTGCAGGCAGACAAGTCCTAGTATTCTGGGAGCTCAGTAGACTCAACACAGTAACTTAAGAGCCTTCGATTTAGGAATCGAGACAAGTGGCCTCGCCACTCATTAGCAAGTGGGTGCACCTCTCTGGGCCCCAATTTCCCCACATGGAAAACAAATGTGAAAGGTAATTGTAGGGTTGTGAGAATAAAAGGTGGCCAGCGATGCAAGGCACTGGACTACACTATTATTACTCAGTAGGGGGCCTTGCACCCTGTAATTGAATGACTGGATCTAATTCTCCCAGGAGACTAGGTAGCAGAATGGATAGAGTGTTAGACCTGGAATCAGGAAGTCCTGAGTTCAGTTTCTCTACCTCAGACACTAAATAGCTTCAGGAACCTGGGTGAGTCAATAGAGTTTGCGGTATCCCTACAGAAATAGTGCCTAAGTCCCAGGATCAGATGGGTGAAGCACCGGGAGAGGGAGTGGTTCTCCTATCCTGACTCAGGCCCTTTTCTTTTCTCATTCCTGGTAGAAAGTATGCTCCTCGAGGGCAGGGCCTATCTTGATTTTGTATTGGAATCTCCTGGCCTGACATAGAATAAGTACTTAATTAGTGATGATATTCTAATTTTTACCCACTTGTCTCTGCCTGTGCTATTTATTCGTCCTGCCCGATCATTCAAAGCCAAGCCCAAGATTTCAATCTGGAAGCATTCTTGGATCCCTCATTGGTTGGAGGTGAGTACGCTAATGGAAACCATATTGTTCTGTTCGATGTTCCTCATGGGCAGGGAACCCATCCTTTTGACTGGCTTCTTTTCTCAAAAGAAGGTACTGGGTTTTGACCCCTAGACTACAGGGTGGGACTTGAAGTCAGGAAGACCTGGGTCTGACCCGACCCTGACAGTTAGGGGACCTTGAGTCATTAACCTCTCTGAGCCTCGGTTTCCTCATCTATAAAGTGAGGGTAATAATCAGAGTGCCTGTCTCCCAGTGTTGTGGTAAGGTTCAGATGAGAATGCCTAGACAGAAACTCTGAAATGCCATATAAATATCAATTTTTCTTGCAGTATGACTATTATCAATATTGTTGGGACCTTATAGCTATTGCCAACTGCGCATCCTCTGGGCGTGGCACGCAGGACTAGCCTTGAGAGGCAGCTAAGCGCATGGGCCCGGCCAAGGTAACCTCCAGGTCCCCAGGAACCCCGGTGCGACCTCCTCCAGCTGTGGCCACAGCAGCTCAGGCACGCGAAGCGGCTGCGCCTAGCCCACGCGGGTAACCCAATGGGCGCGCGCGGGGCTGGGCGGGCCCACTCTGATTGGCTGACTGGGGCCTGAACTGTCAATCAGCCGGCGGGTTTGAGGTCGGGCTGAGGAGCGCGGGGGCGGGCGCGACGTGCGCTCGGCCTCCGCCCCCGCCCCGCTCCCAGTCCCCAGGAGCACGTGCCAAGGCGCCCCGGGCCCCGCGCGCAGAGGAGCAGCCGCGGGTCCCGCCCCAGCCCGCCCCGCCCGGTCCGGCCTCAGGGAGAGAGGCCAGCGAGCGGAGCCTGGGAAAACTCCGCCCCCTCTAGGCCTCCCGCGGCCTCCGCCCCCCCCCCCCCCCCCCGCCCGTGCCCGGGAAGCTGCCCGGGCCAGCAAGGTCCGGTGCGAGGAGAGCCCGGGTTGGGGTAGCTGCTGCATGCGCTGCATCCGGAGGCTGCCTTCTGGGGACAATCACCCCTGGCCCGGGGTCACGGCTCCCCTTGAAACCCCCTTTCCCCCCTCCCCCGCCCCTGCACATCACCCCAGCAGCGGACACATGGGGGTGAGGGTGCAAGACTCCAAAGTGCTCTAGTGCTTGGCTCCAGGACCTTTAAACTTCGGCCACCCCATCTACCCCCACATCCTAGGCCCTTCCCGGGGGAGACCCCCATCTAAAGGTGGCTCTGGTCATCCTGGAGAAATTCGGGTGCCCCCCCATGGGGAAGACTGCTTGGCTCCTGCCCTAGACAGAGGCCCCAATTTAAAAACTGCCCTTGACACCCTAGAAGGCACCCCTTTCCCCCCCACCGTGGGGAAGATTGGCTCCTGCCCTAGTCGAAGACCCCCATTTAAAGGTGCTCCTACTACCCTGGAGAGCTCCCTGATCTAAGGGAAGCCCCATCTAAAGGTTAGACACTTGGCTCACCCCTAGAAAGCCCCTTGATCAGAGGAGAGAGCCCTGGCCTCTGTCCATTTTCTGCTGAGGCAGCCTCTATTTGAGGGAGAGACCAAACTCATGCCTCTCATACCCTGGAGAGCCTCATCTGAGGAAATACTTGGCCATTGTCCTGAGGAACCTCCATAAGGGCAGTAGGACCCCCACCTCCTGCTCTGGAAAACCCCTGATCTGAAGGGCATACCATGCCCCAGCTTCCAGGGAGCCCCCATTTGAGTGGGTGACAGCTCCTCCCATCACAGAATTTTGTTCTTAGAGCCAGAATGGCCCTCAGAGACCATCCAGTTCCACCGCTTCATTTTACACAGAAGGAAACTGAGGTCCAAAGAGAAGGGACTTGTCCCTTGGGGCTGGGGAGGGGGTGAGGCATGGGAACAGTATGCTCCCACACATGGAAACACTAGTGCCAACTTAGTGGAGGGGGGGGCTGTGTTTGAAAGGCGCCTCAGGCCCCACCCAGGCCTCCTTCAGGCTGAAGTTTCTCCACTTTCTGGGGAGTTTCCTGGGAGCAGCTGGAAGTGTTCTGGACCTCCTGCTGTGGTCTGGGCCCTGGGCCAACGGCTGCCCACAGCCTGAGGGCCCCAGAAAGAAGCGCAGCAGTGCCACCGCCTGGTCATTCTGGGTAGTGCAGCAGATGGGCTTTATGAAGAACCAGGGCCAATGTGGATGGGCATTCATTTCCGACCTGACCCTTCCTAAAAGGGGGTGAGGGGCAGCGGGCAGCCCAACCCTAGGCTGGCTCTGTTTCCTACAATCAGATTAGATTTCTTGACTCCTGTTGGATTTAGGTCCAAAGGCCACTTGTCCAGAAAAAAAATCACATTAATAATAAAAATAGTAGTAGCTAGTGTCTATATAGAATTTTTTGAGGGGCCAAGACATTTACTTTCAAATGGATTTATCATTTATTTAGTTGGGTTTTTTTTGTTTGTTTTTTGTTTTTGGCTAGGCAATGAGGTTAAGTGATTTGCCCAGGGTCACACAGCTAGTAAGTGTTATGTGTCTGAGGCCAGATTTGAACTCGGGTCCTCCTGGATCTAGGGCCGGTGCTCTATCCACTGTGCCACCTAGCTGCCCCCATTTACTCAGTTTTAACATTCTTTTCTTTTTAAATTTTGAGTTCCAAATTCTTTCCCTCTTTCCCATCCCTCCCTCATCCACAGAGAAGGTAAGCAAATGATATTAATTATACATGTGAAATCATGCAAAACATATTTCCATATCAGCTGTACGGAAGAAAGTAATAAGGAAAGCCAGAAAATTGTACTTCAGTTTTCACTCAGAGTTCATTAGATCTCTTTCTGGAGGTGGATAGCATTCCTTCATAGGGAGTCCTTTATAATTGTCAAGGATCATTGTATTTAGCAAAGTAGCCAAGTCTTTCATAGTTGATCATCGTTGTAACATTACTGTGCACGATGATCTCCTGGGTTTGCTCACTGCAGTTTGCAGCAGTTCATATAAGTCTTCCCAGGTTTCTCTGATCCCTCCCCCATCATTTCTTAAAGCACAGTAGTATCGTCAAGTTCACAACTTGTTCAGCCATTCCCCAACTGATAGATATTCCTTCAGTTTCCCATTCTTTGACACCACAAAAAGAGCTGCTATAAGTATTTTTGTATCTAAGGGTCCTTTTCTTTTTAATTTGAGTTCATTGGGTACAGGGTCAAAGGTATGCAGTTATAGCCCTTTGGGGGTAGTTCCAAGAAGTCATTGAACTGTCCAAGAGGTGTTTCAACTCTCAACCTGCTATTAACCTCCTCCTTCCGAAACACACACTTTGCCTTGGTATAGACCGGGGCTGTTACCCTCCCCTATTGCCCCAGGGGTCCTAGCAGTTCCTGAGATACCCCCCCCCCCACATTGCCCTCGGGTGGGGCCCTCCTCGACTCCTCTCCCATTGTCTCAGGCATCTTCTGTTCAGTTTGGGAGTCGAATACCCAGGAAGTCTTTCCTGCCCTTGGCCCAGCCTGGAGTTGTTAGCATTGTCTCTCTTTTCACATTTTTATTGTCGTGAGTACTTGTGCACCTCTTGTATCCCACGGTAGAGAGTGCAGGGAAGGCTACATTCTTCCTTCTAGTCATTCTGTCCCCAACCTTCCATTCCCTAGCATTCAGAGTCATGGCCATAGTGAACAGAGCAAAGGGGCCTGGGGTCAGGAAGACCCTTATTCAAATCCTGCTTCTGATCCATCTGTGTGACTGGTTGAGTCGCATCTCAATCTCTCGTCTTTTCATCAGACTAAGACAGGAATTAAAATCTAGCCTCTGACTAGCTGTGTGACCCTAGACAAATCTTTTCATTTTTCTCAGATCCAGTTTCCCCATCTGTAAAATGGGATCATGATGATGATGATAGCACCTACCTCCCAGAATTAAGTGAGATAATGTGTTTAAAGTGCTATATAGATGTTTTCATTATCCAAAACTGAAAGGGATGCCCCATTCTAATAGGATCAAATGAAATTTTGTTGCTGTTCAGTTGTGTCTGACCGCATTCAGGTTTTTCTTGCAAAGATGCTGGAGTATTTGCCATTTCCCCTCTCCTTTACAAATGAGGAAACTGAGTCAGACAAGTTAAGGTACTTGCCCAGGGTCACACAGCTAGGTCAAATTTGAGGTCGAATTTGAACTCTAGTCCTCCTGACTCCAGGCCTGGTGCTCTCTGCACTATGGTGCCACCTATCTGCCCAAGTGAAATAGAGTGGGTAAAAGGCCTTGCAGACCTTTAAGTTTTATATTCTGGTCAAGTGCCATGCCACTCCCCTGCTCACCAGGCTTCTGTGGCTCCCTAGTACACTCACTATCTGCCCCCAACCTCTCTTTCCAGACAGATTTACTCTTATTGCCCTTGCTCACTCTCTCTTCTAGTCAAAGTGGTCTCCTAGTGGCCAGATAGACACACTACTCTGGCCCGACCCCCATGTCTGCAATGCCCTCCCTTTTCTTCTCCAGCTCTTGGAATCCCTTATTCCAATCAGGGCTCTGCTCATATGCCTTTTCCTCCTCTTCCATTCCCAGCTGCTGGCCCTTTCCTCTCAGAAAAAAAAAAAATTACCTTGTCCTAACTTTGTATGTATTCTGTATTTACTTGTATCCCAATGCCCTTCTCTGATGCTCCTCCATGGAGTGACTCTGTGTTGTCCAAAGCTCTGGCAGCTGAGCATCCCAGGTTCTGGCCGAGCTTTGAGCATCATGCAGGTTGAAGTCTTTGTTGGCCTTCTGAGGACCAGCCTCACTTCTTGGCCGCCAAGCTGGCCTCCTGGGGACAACTTCTTTGGTCGTAGCAAACCTATGAAAGCAAGAGAAATACCAAATGATCTTCAAGTCCTGATGAGAAGCATTTGGTGGGTGCTAAAAGGAGGAGCTGAGAACCGTGCAGCTGATATAGCCTATAGCCTGTTGGAAGGACAGGGAGAAGAACCCTGGGGATGGGCAGGCATGAAGCGATCATTTCCGCAGAGAGCATTCACAAGGATGAGATCTAAGAGTAGTGAGGACTTGTCCTTATTTCTCTAGAATTCTGTATGTTCACTAGGATAGTGTATTTCCCTCTCCCCTTCCCCTCCTATCCCTTAGAATTAAGTCCTCCAGGGGCCAGAACTTTTTCTGAACTTTTTTGTGTGTCCTGGACTCCTCCAGTGAAGTCTGTGGCATCCTCATTAGAATAAAGTGCCTGGCACATAGTAGGTACTTAATAGATGTTTATTGATTAATCAATGTTTTTAAATAATGAAAGGAAATGCTAAATTTCAGTTAGATGTTTATGAAATAAAGATGTAATTTTATTCCCATCCAAGTTCATGGACACCCTGAAATCTACCTGCAGATCCCCTCAGGGGACCCTAGGTTAGGGATCTGTGATCTAGCATGTGCCTGGCATGTAAAAGGCTGAGGGCCACTGATTATATGGATTTGGATTGATAAATGCTTGTTCAATTGAATGAAATTCTTTAAAATGTTTTAGTTTTATTTATGAACTTGGAAACCCAACAAACAAGAATG